TAATAGTAATAATCTATATTTATATATATATTTTAGTTTTTCAATGACTATAACAATAAGTATCACTTATTGCTATATTAATTGATTTTCAAGTTAATACTCAAAAAATAAAAAATAAAACATTAGTTGTTAGAAAACACTAGGACTAACCCATTAAAACACTGGGAAAAAATAATATATATACTACCAGTGCTTCTATATATATACTGTACAATATTTATCTCCCATTCCTCCACTCAATTCTCTTTCCATTTTTATTATTAGTATATTATTTTAGTTATATATATATATATAAAATTATATATATATTTTAAAAAGCATTTCCACTCCAAAGGCGACTCCTATTTCAAATGCAATTCAATTGATCTTAAATTTTAATTTTGTTTACATTTTTTATTTTCTCTCTTCTTTTTTTCCAAATTTTTTTATCGCTAAATCTTATTTTTATTTTATTAAACAAAAATGTTTTACATTTATATAGTATGAGAAAAAAATCAATTTCATATAATCAAGTGATAGATCTCATCGATTGTTTCAATAGTTATTTTTATATTATAAATATAAAAAAATGACAAAAATCAATAATATTTGTATAATTTAAATGTACTAAATATATTAATATATTAAAATAGTTCATATAATTCAATGCTATTTAATTTCTAATATTTTTTTTATAATAAAATAAAAATTCAATATTATATTTATAAGTAAAATAAAACTAATTAATTTTATATTCTTAAAACTTTTTTATTTATTTATTTATTTACATATTTAAAAAAAACAGTTAGTTTATTGCTTTAATTTTATAATTTAAATTATTCATATAGTTTTTTTTAAATATATTAAATAATATATAATTATAATAATAATAATTACATGAGAAATTAAATTTTAAAAATTTTTATTCAATATTTAGTATATTTAACATAAATATAAAAATTTTATTGTTATATAAATTTTTATAAATTAACCATCAAATTGATTATCAGTTGTAATTTAATTATACAATAACAAAATTACTAACCCTGATTATAAGATAAAAAATATGATATAAAATAATTAAAAAAAATTATATATTAATTTAAAAACAATAAATTGGTATACTAAATAAATAATACAGTAAATAATTTTACAATAATAATAAAAGTGATAAAAAAACTAATATTACAACTTAATAATAAAAAAAATTTAAATATTTGCAAAAATTATCAATATTTCGATAATAATAATAATAGAAATATTTGGCATAAAATATAAGCTAAAAACAACAACACCTGAATTATTCATAGATTTTTTTATATTATGATTGTTTTTTGACACTTTATTTTTTAAATTATTTTTATTATTATGATTATTATTATTATTGAGCACTTGTAGTCTGGTTTGGTCACCATTTATTGGCTGCTGTGAACCGCCCGATGATGACGACGACAACCTGACAAACGATACGTTCCCGTTATTGTTGTCCATTACTGCCGGTGCCAACAAACTGGGCGGCCATACGCTGGACGCCAGTTCAGAGTTGTGCGGCATTTGAACCTCTGGTTAATTAAAAAAAAACATATATAATTATTAATTTAATTTATTCTATGTATTGACCTGGGATAATTTATCAAAAAAACAATATAAACTGGGACAATTTTAAAAAAATTAGGATATTCAAAGTAAAATATACTGTACAATAGATTTAGACAACTTTGAAAAGGTCTAATAAAAAGTATTATACACACACAAAAAACAAACAAACGTGTGGGCGTCACTTGAGGACAACCCCCTTAAACAAGTGTAAGTAAATCATTATTTAATGTATTATAATCTAATTATTACTACAGGATTACTAACATTAATGTAAAATAAAAAAAAATTAGTATAAATTTACACTAAATTTATTATAAGCTATTTATAACTATATATACTGTATATAACAACTATTATTACATATTTTTGAAATTTGTCTAACAAGATATATATAGTATTTTTCATAGTTTATAAACTAATCAAAAAAAAATGATAACAAAATATAATAAAAATTATTGAATCAAAAAATTTTATATAAAAAAAATTATTTTATGTCAACTATTTATACTATTTTTTACTACAAGTATATAAGTATAATTATTTTATACTATTTATATTTATAGACTCCTATAGTATTGGGTAATACCCTTACCCTACAGTCTAAACCTGATATATATATATATATAAACTGAAACTTATTTGTTATCAAAATATTTTTTAGACACTGTTTTATGAATTAATTTAAAAGTTTTTTTGCTGTTGATTAACTTACTATTTTTATATACATATTAAATATTTCTATAGATTTCATTAATATTAATATAACATACGATATACTTATAGATTAAAAATCAATTTATTTTAGAGTTAATTATTATTTTAAACTGAAAATAATTATTAAATATTATTTATTTTTTTAGATTTGTCGATAAAACTAGTGTATCGGCAGTTGAATTATAGATACCCTTACCGTACAGTCTGACCAGTCCTTCCTTTTCTCCTAAACTGTTTTTGGCCACACATTTATAACTACCGAAATCTTTATCATCCAAATCGGTAATCTTCAGCAACATCCGTGTCCTATAGGAATCGTATTCTTCTTGTGTCTGATATTTATCGGATGACGACAATAGTATGGTTCCGTCCGAACGGATCCAATAGGTGATCGGCTGAGGGGATGCCTCGCATATACAGTCAACGGTGACATCGCTACCCAATGATGAGCCGACCAATTGATTGGTTACTTTAATTTTTGGGCGAACTATATATATATTGATATATTGATATATAATATAATCAACAAAAAATAAATAATTAATTAATTTTGTGGTTTTTTATAAGGCGTGGTTCACATATTACGTTCGCACTTTTTAAGAAATCTAGACCCCCTCCCTCCCCAATGTTCGCAATTGTTCGCGCATGTAGTCATTTAAGATAAAATTACGTTCGCTTATCCCTAACCACTACTACCCCCCCCCCCCCCCACCACAAGAAATAAAATATTATCTAAATGCGAACGTTCTTAATATCTCTACCCCTCCCCTCCCCCTCGTTCGCAAAAGTTCGCTTTGGCTAACCCCCTCCCCTCAAGTGCGAACGTAATATGTGAACAACGCCTAAATAACATGATATATCAAACAAAACAAACAAATTTTGATTACAATTAACTCTAACGATAATCCTTTGGCTAACACTGGGCGGCACTGAATTGGATGCTATACACAGATAGGCTCCCATATCATCTGAAAAATTAATATATAAAATATATAAAAAATAAATTAATAATTAAAAAAAACTTTTAAAAATTATTTAAATATATATAAGAAAAATACAAACCTCTAGTAACTTGACTGATGTTTAGATACTCGCCCTCGACTTTAGTTGCTATTAAATATACAGTATATATATTTATAGTATTTATTTAAATAGTATTTTTTATAATTAGTTATTTAAAAAAATAAAATAAAATGTAAACTAATATCAATGACAAACCTGAATATTTTTTGCCGCCATAGAGACCCAAATTAATATCTTTGTTGTCCTCCCGGCGCCACGTAATAGTCGGTTGTGGGTAACCATTAGCCCGACAGCGCAACGATAGCCGCTGTCTTTCATCGACTGCTGTATCCGAACTCGTGTCCGAATCGACTATCGATGGCGGAACTGAATGGGACGGGTAGTCAGTTAGTTAGTTAGACAATCAAACAAAATATAATCTTATATTAGCAGTCAATCAATTAGCAGGTAATCGGATGGTTTTGGACCACAACATTGTCGACTACATACTGTTTTTTTTTTGGACAATTAGCTAACCAGTTAATACACACTTACTTAATACATCCACGTAACCAATCGATGTTATCATTGGCTCCGTATTTATTTGGCACATATACCACCCTATCATATAAATAAAATAATAATTCATGTAATTATTATATAACATAGTGTGTCGGTGTGTGTGTGTGTGTGTCTGATAGTTAGACAGTTAGATAATTGCATGTTACTGTACCGGTATATATAATAATAATAATAAGTACTGTAAATATTATATATATAACTAACTAACAAACAATATATTTATGAGATATATATAGTAGTAATAATAATAGTGTTTTTTATCTGATTTTTATCTGATATATAAATAATAGACACCTTTATCGTGTGGTTTGACTGTTTTGATGTGTAGATACCACTGACGATAGTTATTATGCGATACACGGATGCGTTGGTCTTCCGTAACGGTATGGGTATGTACTGTCAATAGTGTCATATCTGATGTGGATTTATCTTTAATATCTATATTTTCCATTTTGAGCCAGGCCACCTAATTTTAATTTTTAACAAACAATTATAATTATAATAATTTTCAATATATTTCAATAACACCCAATTAATTTTTATGATAATTATGGATATATGATATTATTTGTTGATTTAGGATATTTACAAATTATATTCATTAATTAAAAAGTTTTAATATATTTTTCTTATAATAATATTATTAAATTTTTTACCAATTTTTTAAAAATTAGTTAATAGTTAGAGAAAATTTAATTAAAATACTTAAACAATTTAATAGACTATCAAAAAATAAATAAATATCTATTTAATGTTTTTATTTTCATCTATACTTAACAATTATTTTTTAGAAAGTGTTTTTTTTTATTCAATATTGTAAAACTATCTCAAAATTTATATATATAACAATTTTATTTAGTCTACTACTAGTAAACTAGATTCAACAAAAAAAAAAACCATTATCTAGTAGTTGGTCACTCTCTAATCCTAAATACACAATACATTTAATATATATTATAAAGTAATAAATAATACAATATATAATAAATATATATATATATATAAAGTATTTACCGTATAATTGCCGAGATTATTGATAGTGCACTCAAGCATTGTGTTACGTCCCGCTGCTATCGACACGTTGGCCATTGAATCGATAAAATTTGGCATCAATTTGCACTCAACTATTATAACAATATTATTATAAAAATATATAAATAATTACTTAATAAATAAATTTATATTTAATATATGAATATATTTTTTTTAATTCTAATAAATTAAATTAAGTAAATAAATGATATTTTTGAATAATTAATAACTTATAATTGACAAAATAATAATTTAATATTTCTAATTAGTTTATTATTATTATTATTATTATTATTGAATAATAATTAATGTATAATTAAGACATAATTATATTATTTATAAATAATTATTTCAATTTAATTAATATTTACAATAATTGATTGAATTTATAGTAATTTATTTACATTTGTTTTTTATATGTAAATAAATTTTATTAAAAAAATTAATAACTTTAGCGTTATATAATAAAATATATCATTAAAGTATGTATTATTTTAAATATTTTTATTGATAAATAAATAATAATATTTGTTAAAAATATTTAAATTAAATATATATATATATATATATAACATTGTTAATTTTTAATTAATTTAAAACTAATGAATTATAAATAATCTCATTTATTTTACAAATTATTCATTAGTATTTATATAAATAAATAAATAATTTTTTTAAATATTTATATAACAACAGTAGTATGTAGTTTCAATTTAGCTAATTAAATGAAATACAAAATCATATATAATAAATAAATAATAAATAGTTTTTATAGTAATTTCATAAATATTAAAATATATTTAATGATTATAAATATTAATCAACAAAAAAATTGAATAGACAAATAATTTAAAAAAAAAATATTTTTAATTATAAATCAAAAGCTATCAATCGATTTAATCAAATAAATTGTTAAAAAAATACTAAATAATAATAATAATAAAGTAAAACAGTTTATATGAATATTGTATTATTTTTTTAGTTTTTTTTAGACGACACACAAAAATCCGGCTCTCAATTTAAACAGTTGTCTAAATGCTATGTTATATATACTGTATATATATATATATATATATATTAAATCATCTCAACTTTACGGGACACTTAACTTATTTTTTTTTCAGTACATACCGTCCCAATGGACCACACTTTACAATAAGTCATTAGAGATGATAGAGTAATATATATATATATATAGAGAGAGAGAGAGAGAGAGAGAGAGAGAGAGAGAGAGAGAGAGAGAGAGAGAGAGATCACTTCAAAACTTCACTATCACTTTAATACAATTTGTTTAAGTATTCATTGACTGACATTAAAATTGCTTATATTATAGCTAAAAAAATCATGTTTTTTTGTTCAAACAATTTAGTAGTGTTTAAAACTTTTTTTTAAACAAAAAAAATGGAAGATATTAAATACTATGCATTTGAATAATACTAGATATTATAATAAAAAATAGTTATTTCACTAATATATATATATCATATATACTGTAGTATATTGTAATAGACACTAAAAATAATATTAAATAAATTAATTATTTTTCTTTGACAATAATACAACACAATAACAAATATATATATAAAAGTAATAAAAGCATTGGTTTTATGTGATAAACTTTTGGCTCTCAATTCAATATTTATTCAAATAATGTTATTTTTGTACAAATAGTGAACTCCGAAAAAAAATTAATGAGAAAATAGTCGACTTTCTATTACTCTCTCTCTCTCTCTCTCTCTCTCTCTCTCTCTCTCTCTCTCTCTCTCTCTCTCTCTCTCTCTCTCACTCACTCACTCACTCATTCATCCGCACTCACTCACCCACTCTCAGCCACTCATTTCTCTAGCTATTGTAAGCTTAAAATGTAAGTGCATTTAGAGATAAGCAAAATTTGAGTGAATGTTAAAATAAATTCAATTTCTCCTCTCATTCACTAATTATTTCTCTTTTATTGCTTTACTATGACTTTGGGATGCGATTTGTGCGATAACTTAGTTAAGACATCCTCTAATATAAATGATAGACCAATGTATATGCTATATACTGTATATATATAATATATATATATTATTTGTATATATATGTGTAACTATAGACAGATTACATATAAAAATTTTTCTGTTTATTTGTAAACTTTATACACAAATATTATAGTTAGTAATACTTCTAAACTAAACTAATATACTTTATATACAGTATAAACATATAGATAGTGTTAGAAACTTGTATTAAAAACATTAATTTTAAATACATTTAACATTTACTTTAAATTTACTAATAATTTAGTGTAACTACAGATTTTATGTTTATTATAAATTATAAATTAAATATATATATAATATATATTTAATGAAAAACAAATACAAATATTTTTAAACTATCATTATTGTTTGTTGTTTGTTGTTGTTTTAATGTAATGTAATTTTTAATTAATAGATATATTACCAGTTCAACGATTTTTCTATTTCTACATTATATACACACATTAAATACTGTACTATAATGTTGTTAAACACTATAAAAATTGATTAAAAAAATACTGTAAACTACTGTATATATTGTATGCAAATAGCTTTAAAAATTTTAAAAGCAATATAATAATATGTTATAAATTGATATATATAAAACAAATATTTATAAATATATTTATAATTAATTTATATGACATATGTAATATTAAATAAAATAGATTTACATAAATACATTATTACATATATATATAATATAAATACAATATAATACTATCTATTGATAACATTAATAATATTTGTTTAAAATAAAAAATATTTTATCTATTATTCAATTATTTATTGCTTGTTTTGCTTTTTATTTAAATAAAATTGAATGGCACTAAAAAAATATAAAAAGATAAAAACTTTTTCGTATTTTTTTATTTAATGTTTTTTTCCCTAAATTTAAATATAAGAATACAATAACATAACAAAAATTTAGTTTTAAAACTCCTTAAAAAATTTACTGATTTTTTTTTGGTGGCATTTATACTGTAGTTTGTGATACATTCTATAGTATATCCTATCAGTCAATGAAAGTGTAAATGAAGTTTCTCTCTCTCTCTCTCTCTCTCTCTCTCTCTCTCTCTCTCTCTCTCTCTCTCTCTCTCTCTCTCTCTCTCTCTCTCTCTCTCTCTCTCTCTCTCTCTCTCTCTCTCTCTCTCTCTCTCTCTCTCTCTCTCTCTCTCTCTCTCTCTCTCTCTCTCTCTCTCTCTCTCTCTCTCTCTCTCTCTCTCTCTCTCTCTCTCTCTCTCTCTCTCTCTCTCTCTCTCTCTCTATTTATCTCTCATTATACTATAGTATACTATATTTTATTCACAATTTCTTTTATTGCATTTGACTTTATATATATATATATATATATATATATATATATATATATATATATATATATATATTAAAATCTAAATTTAAAATCTCTTTTCTCTCTCTCTCTCTCTCTCTCTCTCTCTCTCTCTCTAAATAACACGTTAACAAAATACATGATGACATTAGTTTTAAACAAAACGTTATAAACTCCTATATTTTATTTTTCTAATTTAAACACACATTTTAGTGTCGATATATTAGTTTTTTTTGCAAAACATAATATGTAATCAAAATTTTTTTTTATCATTATCAACATCATTAATTTTCTATTGTAATTTTCTAATTACTATTATAATACAAATTTTAGACTTTTTTTATTATTATTGTGAAACTAAAAATTATTTCTATATTAATAATAATACTAAAAAACTTGAGATACAGTATATTGAATATAAAATAATTGTTAGGTTAAATAAAGTATCTATTATATGATATAATAAAATTTGGATATTTTTTATATATATATATAATTATATTGTATTTATATTTTAATAAATAACACTTTATGTCGAAATTAAAACAACAAAAAAAACTAAAATCAAGACTATAATAATTTTTAATTATATGCTTATTATTATTATTATATTATAATAAAAGTACTTTAAATATTAGCTTAACTTTTTGAACACAGCAATTGAATTATAGATCTTATGAAAAATGACTGAAATTTTTAATTATAGAGTTTAGCGCAACAAAAAAAATCAAATAAAATAAAAAAGGTTTCAAATAAAAAAAATATTAGATAATTATTAATCAATAATAATCATTAATTTAAGAAACTAAATGCCAGTAGTTTATTGTATATAACATTATATAATGTAATTATAAATAAAAATTATAAGTATCAGTATATACTATAGTTAATTACCGGTATATAAAAACTTAATAACAATAATAACAATATTGAATGATTTATTAACTTAATAATAATAATAATAAAATTAATAATTATAATTTGAAATACTTTTTGATAGACATTATAAACTGAAAATATAAAATCATATTGAAATCTGAATAATTAATTGCTAACTAATTTAAATAATTTTTTTTATGATACACTTTTTTCCGATGCATAATTAATATTATTAATGTAATTATTTTTTTAAAAAAATATATATTATTATTATTATAACTCTACTGTAGTTTTAATGATATGATAGAGAAAATAAATAAATTTTATTTATGCATTGGATTTGTGTGTGTGTATGTGTGTGTGTGTGTGTGTGTGTGTGTGTGTGTGTGTGTGTGTGTGTGTGTGTGTGTGTGAGGCTGAATGATGTGCAAATGTAAGCGCAAACAATAATGAATTAATGATAACAACAAAAGCATATATATATACACACTATGTGTGCAAATATCATATGGGATGCTATACTTAATATCGGGAGGGGATTGTTGTCTATATATATATATATATATATATATATTGTATGTATATATTATAATACTATTTATCTCTATAGATATATATTGTATAACATAACAAATAATAAGCAGGGGATCAACACAATGAATCTATAGTTTACTTCTCTATAACTGTATTGAATACACATATATCTATAGTAATAATATACTGTATAGTAGTACAGTATAAACACCATATCGTACATCATTTAATGGAAAAATATCTGGTATTTTAGGTACACACACACACACACACACACACACACTAACACACATACACACACACACACACACACTAACACACACAC